TATATATATATATATATATATATATATATATATATATATATATATATATATATATATATATATATATGAGCCAGATTCAATGATTGGATGGTACACATCCCTCGTGACATTATCCCGCACGTGTTTCGTATCCTTCTTCTATAAAAAGGGACGAATCTCACGCACCAAATTGAAGGAAGTACAACCTGCAAGGTTGACGCGACTCTTCCATCGTCTCCCGAGTTCAAATCTCTCTCCTCATCGCACGGCCACACACATCTACTGTTAGCAATAGCGAAGATGACGAGAAAAGGCTTGCGAAACCTCTTGCAGTGCAAACCCTTCGGCCGTCGCCACCACAGAGACAGCCAGTCCGCCGCAGCTACCGCTTCTTCTTCTTCTTCTTCGTCGTCGTCGTCGTTGGAGGAGAAGGTGGCGAGAGCAGAGGTGGTTGTTATCAAATGGGACCCGGAATCCTCCGCCTACGCCAAGATCACTTCCCTCTTCTATGAAGACCGCTCCGAGGCCCGCAAATTCCTGGCTGAGGCCTCCGACCTGCAGCGTGCCATGCTCGTCTTCGTCGCGGACGCCGAGCCCGCGAGCCTTTCCCACCCGTGCCTCGTCCGCGCGCAGACCCTCATGCAGGCCGCCATGCGCCGCCTCGAGAAAGAGTTCTTCCAGATCCTTGCCGCCAACCGCGACCTCCTCGACCCTGAGTCCGTCTCCGTCCGCTCCGCCTACTCCAGCGTCTCCGAGGGGCCGGACTATGACCCCTGGGAGAACTCCCCAGAGGAGGAGGCGCACTTGGCCGGGAAGTCTATCGGCGAGGTCGAGCGCGCCGCCGGCGTGGTCATGGCTGACCTCCGCGCCATCGCCGATACCATGGTCTTCGCCGGCTACAGAAAGGAGTGCGTCAGGACCTACAAGTCCCTCCGCAAGTCCATCGTCGACGAGGGCCTCTACCGGCTCGGCTTCGAGCGCCTCGCTCCTGCCCAAATCCAGAAGCTGGACTGGGCGGTGCTGGAGCTAAAAGTCCGGTCTTGGCTAGTTGCCTCCAGCGTCGCCGTCAGGACCCTTTTCCACGGGGAGCGCGTCCTCCTGGACCATGTCTTCGCCGGCTCCGACGCCGTCCGGGAAGTCGTCTTCGCTGACATCGCGGGCGAGGCCGCACTCCAGTTCCTCGGCTTCCCGGAGTCAGTGGCCAAGTCGAAGCGGTCCCCCGAGAAGCTATTCCGACTCTTGGACTTGTACGACGCTGTCACCGAGCTGCGGCCGGACATCGAGCTAATCTTCTCCTTCGACTCCACCGCCGCTATTCGGGCGCAGGCTCTCGCGTCACTCTCCAAGCTCGCGGAGGCCGCGAGCGCCACCCTCGCTGATTTCGAGTCGGCGATCATGAAGGAATCGTCCCGGTCGACGGTCCCCGGTGGTGGGGTCCACCCGGTGACCCGCAACGCCATGAACTATATATCGCTTCTCGCCGACTACCAGTCCGCCCTCGTGGAGATCTTAGCCGACTTCCCCATTCAGACCCCAACCGCCATCCCTGCTTTCCTCTTCGACACGTGGCAGGCACCGACGGAGCAGCAGACTGCTGTCTCCGGTTCTTCCTCAACCCCAGCCTCCTCCTCCTCCAGCGAAGGGAGCCGCCGCTCGGCAATTGCTGTGCGGTTCGCGTGGCTGATCCTCTCCCTACTGTGCAAGCTAGACGAGAAGGCCGCAGCGTACCGTGACGTGGGCTTGTCGTACCTCTTCCTGGCGAACAACCTCCAGTACATAGTGAACAAGGTGCGGTCTTGCCGCCTGCGGGAGCTGCTTGGGGAGGAGTGGGCGACGCGGCAGGCGGCGAAGGCGAGGCAGCACGCGGCGGGGTACGAGAGGGCGGCTTGGGGACGAGTGGCGGCGACGATTCCGACCGGGAATGTCTCAGCCGGAGAGGCAAGGGGGGGTATGCGGGCGTTCAACGCGGCGCTGGAGGAGGTCCGCGCAGCCGGATCCGGGTGGGTGGTGGCGGACGCCGCGATGCGGGAGGAGGTGAGGGCGAATGTGCGCAGGATGATACTGCCGGCGTATCGCGGGTTCTACACCCTGTGGGAGACGGCGATGGAGGACGCGGCGGCGGTGCTGCTCTCGCCAGACGACGTCGGGAACCGGCTGGGAGAGCTCTTTTCCGGTTCGGGATCGTACCGGCCCAAGGCATCATCATCCCGGACCGTGTAATTTTGGTTTATTTTGTTTAATCTATTTCGGATACTTCTTACAGCTTATATATCAAAAATTTAGATTGTAATCCATTTCACGTTGTTCACTGTTCCTTCAAAGTTGCATGATACCGATGTCTGCGTTGCTTGTTCTGAATCAAAGATGTGCTACTCCTTGACTTTGGTGACCTCTAGACATCAGTGTAGTGACTTATGATAACGAGCAGGCTGTTACGTCGTTGACAAAATCTCACCTTAAACAGAGTTTATTGTACATCATTTAATTTAATGTAATTAATAAGACCATCGATGGTTTAATTAGTCCTACCGTCGTATCCAGTATTGAAAATTGAATGATTCAGTTGCAAATACAGAGTCCATAAAGGGAGAAAGACTCAAATATGTGAAGAGAGCAGAGAGCTGTGGTCTTCTCATTTATCATGGAACAAAAGTGGAACAATGGGTGCTATGGTCATTTGTCATTCTGCATGGGCTTATATATATGTTGTATATATTCTCTTACAGCACCAAAGTGTTCACTATTTCTTAATTCACTAATGATTTATTTTTTTATTTCTTAATTCTAATCCTTTATTTCTTAATTCTAATTCTTGATTCACTAATGAACTTTTAACAATACTCACCAATCCTAACAATAGATAGATTGTAATGTCTCGCTTCTAATATTTTTTTGACAAACCTTGAGCATGAGAGCTTCTCTCTTCTTTCTTAGTGCATGCATCTCGTAGAGATAATCCCTATTAGGGTTGCATTCTTGCTACTCACATTGGAATTAGGATTCAATTAGGAATCCAAAAGAGAATCTTGATAAATTAGGACTTAGTTCCTATAAGTATATGATAAGAAATATAAAATCAACTAGTCACCTTTCACCATGCTAAAAACATACCATATCGACATTCCCCTATCTATTAAAGTGGAAGCTCAAAAGGTAGCTCGGGTCAGTTATCAAGCTGCCAAGATGTACAGTTGCCAAGCTGCTTTCCCTATGGAATATCTATATGAATATTCTGTAAAGACTAGAAGGTAGTTCAAGTCGGTAATGGATCGACTCCTTTGTGGAATATTCATAGAAATATTCTCATAAGACCATATGACAATTCAGGTCGGTTAGGAACCAGCTTTCCTACAAAATCCTTGTAGGAATATTCTCAGAAGACCGTAAGGCAATTCGAGTCGGTTACGAACCGACTCCCCTCTGGAATATTTATAGGAATATTCTTTAAAGATCAAAAGGTAATTCAAGACGGTTACGAACTATCTTCTCTGAAGGATCTTCACGAGATATTCTTTCCTCTTGAGGTTAGTATAAAAATATATTTTTAGCTCCATAGAAAAGGGGGCAATTGAGTACTAACTTAAGTATCAGAAGGATAGGCTCGAGAAACCCCTCCCGACCTCATTCTTTATGGAGGAACAAGGCAGGAGAAATCACGCTCTATTCCGGATGACTCCTCACATATGGATCAAGGCTACATCATGCTAACACGGATGTCAATGATATTTTCCTCCAACATTTTGGTGCTAGAAGGAGGGCCCGATATCATAGGAATGTCCATGGGCTGACCTTATCTGTAAACATTTTAGTGAGGCTTTGCCTTTGACCCATGACATCTTTGCTCAAACAGGACAACAACCACCTTTACCTTACATAGATGCATCAACCTCACCGTAAGTTCCACTATAGTACTAGGATACGTTTAATAACCCTAGACCTTTATCTCTATAAGTGCTGGCTAACTATCTCCTCATTCTTGTCTAGTTATTTTTGAATCTCACCCAACAGATGTAAGCATTAGTTGACATAATACAAGTGATCGCCTCACTCCTACCTCGGTCAAACCAACAAGTGATGCCACAGCCTCAGCCTCAACCATTGATGATGGTTCCTCAACTACTAGCGTTCACATCCGCTAGAGTCCTCCCACCCGATGAACTACCAACCCCTCATGAGCATCCATGACCTATCAAACCACTAGTTGAGAGAGCTCCCCAACCATGAAATTTAGTAGGCTACCCCACCACCACTCTGCTCCACTTGAGTTTGAGACCCACTTGATCGACTCAATAGACAACTCCTTAAGGATTCGATTTCAACAAATAGATCGATGCCTAGAAAAAATATGTCATGACGTCCATCAATCCAGGGGTGAGAGACAGATCGACTCCACATTGAGTCATTCTCGGTTTATTCAGGACATCCAAGAGGAGCCGATCCCTACTAATTTTTTCCTCCCGTTGTTGGAAATCTTTGATGGCACTACTAACCCAATGGAGCACGTTGTTGCCTTCTGGACTCAGATGTCGCTATATGGCACCTCGGATGCCCTGATATATCGTGTCTTCCTAATCACCTTAAGAGGTTCGACAAGAGAGTGGTATGCTTGTCTAAAACTATTTTTTATCAGTTCTTTCACTTAACTAGCGAAGGAGTTCAAGCTCTACTTCCTCATAAATGTATTCTCGAGGCTCATGGCAATAATGCTTCTAGGATAAAGACACGACAATGAGGAGACACTTGTAAACTTCTCAACTGATTCACCAACAAGATCCGAGGTATGGACAATGTTCACCCCTCGCTCATGATTCAGTCCTTCATGATGAGACTTAGGCTCTTCTATCTCTTCTAGTCGTTGGTAGAAAGAACACCAACAATAGTGCCCAAAGTACTTCAAAGAGCTAACTAGTATATTGTCACTGATGCAATGGTCTCAAATAATCACGGGGAACCCCATAAGAGACCGAGATAAGAGTGACCATAATCCACCCTTGCCCCAAGATTGCCACAGCTAAGGAGAAGCAAATGACTCAACATGCCTTGCTTAATGTCTGAACTACCCCCCCGAACCTGACTAGAATGAAAGTTCTCTTACAAATAAAGGAAAAAATCTTATTGAGAGACCCCCGACCGATAAGAACCCCACTCGAAAAGAGAAACAAATCTAACTATTATCATTTCCATCGTAATTACAGCCATGATACAAAGGATTATCACGATATGAAGGAACAGATCAAGGAGCTCATACGACGGGGACACCTTGGGCGGTTCGTCCGAAGACATCACGAGCTATCACCCCGACCCCAGAAGTCGGTCGAAAGACAAATCGATGTCATTGTTGGCGGCCCAGCCTTAGGAGGAGACAACATCTCAGGTCACAAAATTTATGCTTGAGCCATCATTAGCAAGCACCCCAAGACTAATGGTGACTAGGAAATAACTTTTAAGGAGGAAGAAACAGAATGCCTCGACCCAAACTACGATGATACCTTGGTGGTCTCTGTAAGGATGGCTAGTGCCCATGTAAAAAGGGTCATGATTGATACATGTAACCCTACTAATATCCTTTACTTCAATGCCTTTCAAAAATTGGGCTTAGAACTGATAATCTCACCCCCATTACTTCCTTGCTAACGGGATTTATAAGCACCTACATGTCACATTTGGAGACTAACCATGTTCAAAGATAGTTATGACCAAGTTCATGGTGGTTAATATCCCCTCAGCATACAACGCCATTATAGGTCAAGCCATGTTGAAGAGACTATAGACAATTGTGTTAACATATCACATGAGGATGAAATTCCCAACTAGCACTGATGTTGGTGAATTAAGGAGCAACCCATAGGAGTCCCGATAGTGCTGTTGGGCTGATGGCCCATATTCAGCCCATGTGGGCTTTATCAGCCCACATCCCACACCCCCTCTTAATCTTACCCTAATTAAGATTAGGGGGGTGTGGTGGCTGCGTTTTAGAGGCAGATTAAAGCTATAAAAAGGCAACAACGAGGCAGATCTAGATCTTTGGTGCGACAAGATTCCAAAGAGAAGAAGGAGAACAAGGCAGAAAAGGAAGAGAAAGAAAGGGAAGAAGACAAGGACAACGCAGAGAGACTGTTCTCAAACATCTAGCAGTGTTCTCATCTCAGGTTAGATCAAATCTACAGTAGGCTCTTGCTGTGATTACTTGGGAGGTTTTAGATATTGTGGGCAGTGACGTGATCCTTGTATCCCAGTTATTCTCTTGTGGTTGTTGCTAGGGTTTTGGGCAAGAGATTGAGATTTGTACATTCATTATTCTCATAGTGGATTATCTCTAGTTTGCCCCGTGATTTTTACCCTTCACATTGAAGGGGTTTTCCACGTATATCTTGGTGTTCTGTTTGATTGTGTTTCCATTTTATTCCGCTGTGTATTTTGGTCTTCTAGTATTTGTTCCTATACAAAGGTTATTCCTGTTTATATCCCCATCAAGTGCTACCTCATGGCTATCTCCTTACATAAGAAAGTTTGATTTGAAGCACCACCTATGAACCTAAGAGATTTCGCCAAACCCCTTCCACATGTAGAGCTGATGGAACCACTAATCAAAACACCCCTAGATGAGGCTTGCCCCGATTGGGTCATCAAGATAGGCTCAATGTTGCTTGACGAGAAGAGAGTACAACTTATCAGTTTTCTCAAGAAAAACGTTGAGGTGTTCGTATAGTCACCAAGGGACATGCAAGGAATCAACTCGGATGTAACTCAACATTATTTGAGTATATCTCCCGGAGCTCAACCAATCAAACAAAGTTCTCACAAATTTACCCCTGAACACCAACAAGCTATTAGCAACAAGATCGATAAACTACTAGGAGCAAGGTTTATTGTCGATGTGCAATACCTGTAGTGGCTCGCCAACATTATACTTGTTAAGAAGTTAAATAAAAATTGGATGATGTGTATCGACTATACCAATCTCAACAAAGTATGTTCGAAGGACAACTATCCGCTCTCTTAGGTGGATCAACTACTTGACGCCACCTTGGTTCATAAGCTCCTTGCATTCAGGGATGCATTTTCAAGATATAACTATATAATAATGGCATTAGAAGATTGAGAGCATACCTCCTTTACCACCGACCGATGGATATATTGCTACCAAGTCATGTCGTTCGGGCTGAAGAATGCAGGGGCAACATACCAAAGGATGGTGGATAAGATCTTCAAGCACCAAATCGAGAGGAATGTTAAAGTATACGTAGATGATGATTCGATGGTGGAGGTCATAAGTGTTAGTAAAGTGAAGATGAAAATATTTGATGAAGTAGTGCATACTTTGCCGGATGTATTTTA